AGCAGTCAGCTTTTGTGTTTTCTTTTTTCACATCTTACAAAACTATTCTGCTCTGCCCCAAAACTTGCAGATTCCTCTCATCTCCCTGAGCAGTAAAACAAAACACCCAGTAGTTAGTAAGACCCATTCTCCTTAGAAGCCTGTGTAAAAACCCTCTGCAGTAACTAGAGCCTGTCCTTGGGGGTCCTGTGTTTGTGCAGAGATTATAGTGAGAATTTTACAAAATGGGTGAAAGATACTAAGCTTCCTAGTTGTTCCTCAGTGGTAAAGTTATTTCTCAGTGTGGCTTGCCATCACAAGAAGCAGAAATGCCTTCCTTATTATCATTGACAGTTGCTTAAAAGTCATTGCATTGATATGGAAGGAGCATTTGTTCAATAGTATTTCTATTATTTTAATGTTTGAAATACTTCCATAACTGTAAAAGAGTGTCCTCCTGATTACATGAACACCAAAGCTAAATGTTAGCAAAAGGAGAGTGATATGTGAATAGAAATGTAGTTTTCATGCAGCCATGAAGAAGAACGAAATGTTATCATTCGCTGGTAAATGGATGGAATTGGAGAACATCATTCTGAGTGAGGTTAGCCTGGCTCAAAAGACCAAAAATCGTATGTTCTCCCTCATATGTGGACATTAGATCAAGGGCAAACACAACAAGGGGATTGGACTATGAGCACATGATAAAAGCGAGAGCACACAAGGGAGGGGTGAGGATAGGTAAGACACCTAAAAAACTAGCTAGCATTTGTTGCCCTTAATGCAGAGAAACTAAAGCAGATACCTTAAAGCAACTGAGGCCAATAGGAAAAGGAGACCAGGAACTAGAGAAAAGGTTAGATTAAAAAGAATTAACCTAGAAGGTAACACCCACGCACAGGAAATCAATGAGAGTCAATGCCCTGTATAGCTATCCTTATCTCAACCAGCAAAACCCCTTGTTCCTTCCTATTATTGCTTATACTCTCTCTACAACAAAATTAGAGATAAGGGCAAAATAGTTTCTGCTGGGTATTGAGGGGGGGAGCGGGAGGGGGTGGAGTGGGTGGTAAGGGAGGGGGTGGGGTCAGGGGGGAGAAATAAACCAAGCCTTGTATGCACATATGAATAATAAAAGAAAAATGAAAAAAAAAAAAAAAAAGAAATGTAGTTTTCTTTTTACTGTGAACCATGGTAATGCTAATGAAGAATTCCTACTAAAACATGAATATTCCAAATAAAACATGAAATATTCCTTATGACATTAATAAATCTGTTTCTCTTATTATTATTATTTTGCTACTGAAGTAGGTACAAGCCTAAGGAACAGATCCAACAAAATCATTTTTTTTAAATAAAAAGTTGTCAATACCTAGCTAATCTCTACTTTTAATAGGAATCTGTTTCATGAACAGCTATAGATAGGTTTTATTATTCAAAATATGTGTGCCCTTGGTACCAGATGAGCTAGAAAGGACTAGAAGGAGTTTTATTAAAAGTGAGAGGAGGCTGGGTACAGTGGCTCATGCCTGTAATCCCAGCTACTTGGGAGGTAGAGATTGGGAGGATCATGGTTCATGGCCAGCTTGGACAAAAATTTAGCAAGACACCACCTCAACATATAAGCCAGGAATGATGGTACATCCCTGTGGTCCCCTACCACATGGGAGGTAGAAGTTAAGTGGATCATGAGCCAGGTTAACCCTTGACAAAAACATGAGACCCTATCAAAAAAAAAAAAAAAAGAACAAAAAAAAAAACCCCTAAAAAACCAAAACAGCCTGGAGGCATGGCTTAAGTGACAGATTGCTTGCTTAGCAAGCTTGAGGCCCTGAGTTCAAATCCCCAGTACTGCCAAAAATCAAATAAACAAAAAGATTGGGAGGAACCAATCTTTTTAGGTTAGAATAGAATTTTCATAGGCTTGGTGAGTTTTAAAACATATTTACTCCATTAGCATAAATATATCTTATTGAAGAGTGATGAAATTGGACATGAGATTTTGTACTTAGGTGTATCTTTACAGAGAAGGGGTGGATGTCTGGGCAAAGCTGCAGTCTTACCCTTGCCATTGGTGCATCAGATTGTTTCACGTCAGCAAAACCTGTGAAACCTCCATTTTCATAACTGCTCATGAACCTCTTCAAAGCCTTGGTACTTGCCTAGAAAGAAAGAAAAAACTAGAAAGAAAAATTTGTACGTATTTTAAGTGACATTATTTTGTAAAAGAATTGTGGAAGTATCTTGCTACAATTTAGGTGTGGCACAGAAAACTAGGGCAACACTTACTTTTAGAAATATCAAGTGTAATTCACTGTTTTTTAATTAATTACATAATTATCCACCAGAACACAAAGGATCCCAGGGTACCTTAATGGAAACGCTACACTTCCAAATAAAATAGTAATAATTATCGCCTACTATATTCAAAGTGCTTTATTAGCTATAATTTTTAACTTCCACATCTCTGTGTGTAAATAAACATCATTAAGAATATTAATCTTTTCTATAGTTTAGAAATAAGAAAACTAAGGCAGAGAAATTGATTCAAATGATAAATTAGGCATTGTGGTTTTGAATCATTTAAAGAGGTAGATATCCAATAGGAACAATAGATGTTAGTGGAATACAGAAATAGCTCTTGCAGTTCTTCATAAATTACCAAGTAGTAATTAATTACAAGTATCATCTTTCCTCCAAGTCATGTGACCAAATGAGTTTAAATTTGCTAAACAATGCCATACTAGCTTTGAGACTGCTAGAAAGATCTAAGATATGACTGAACTGACTTTATAGACACCATCCTAGGTATCTTCTAGCTGCATGAAGTTCTGTGTCATTAAAACCATTGAATTAGGAGATTGGAGAGATGTAATGAATTGAATATCACAGAGTTCGATCAGAGGGTAAGTCAAGGTTTACAAACCACATCTTGCTAATGGAGCAAAACTTTTTTCAGTAAAACAGTAGCAGTGTTTTAAGATAATCATGAAAAGCGTAGGACACTTGCTGGACCTAGGCCTTCAGGACACTTGATGCACATTTAGAGGATGTAATCCAGTGAGAGCTACCACTGGAACAGATGGTTACAGAGCCAAGGCAAGCTAACACTATCCCCAAAACACTGTAGCAAAAAGGCAAGATGACATGTGCCAGACAGGCATAGTCATGAAGCCCACAAAGCCATGGGATGTTCTCTGATACAGTGTTCCAGAACTGCAGACTCATTAGGCAGAAAAAAATCCTGTGATTGATGCCCATTTGGGGAGATCTGAGCTCGAAGGAAGACAGCCAACTACACTTCATTTGGAAGATAAGTAAGACAAATAGTGACCTTGCAATGATCCGAGACAGCTCTACTACAGGGCCATTGGAGAAAAGAATGAGCACATGCTAGCCTGGCTCTGCCTGGGTGCCCTAAATGGTTGGAGTGGAGAGAGAAAAGTGCTTTGAGTTTTCATCATAGAAGCGCTGCTGGTGGGTAGACAGCTACAAGGCAGACAATTAGGTCAACTACATATTTCTTACAGACTGTTGAATTTATTTTGTTCTGTAAGAATCTCTGTCTGATGGCACTTCGTGCCTAAGATAATTGAGGTATATGCATAAGCACTTTCTAAATTCATTTGGGTAGCAGAGTTTAATAGCAAGATATGAAGTATGTGTTATGAGTATAGTTTGCTTGCACTGTTGGAATCACTCACTGCTGGATAATAGACAATTGGAAAAACATTTCCCACTCTCTTACTTGCCCCTCTCATTGAAGGCCAGGGATTTGATGAACCCACAGAAACCATGTGCCTGTTACCCATCCATTCTTTGATATACTGAGACCCAAGTTTCCATTTTGATTGAACTTCTGCACAACTGGCAAGAAGCTCTTTTTAAAATTACAGTACCCAAGGGATTACTGATTTTTAGATCTAAGAACCAAAGAAATAAAAGAACATACCCTAAAATATTCAAACTTCACACTACGTATACTAACTATAACATTTAATTCTAAAACTATCATTAGTGGAAGCGTGGCTCAGAAAAATTTATAAATTTCCACCCAAGTAAAAATAAATATTTAAAGTTGGATGTTATATCAGATGTACTTGAGATAAAGCTTGTCAGGTCATTCATATAGGTTTTAAACAGGGAAAGTATACCTGTTAAAATATGAATGTGTGAATGTCCTGGTTTTGCATTTTCAAGGGTAGAGAGAAAGCATTTTACATTGTGATATAGAGAGGCCCTTTGTAACTTCATTTAATGTCCTATTGTCATTTATATTTATTAAAAATACTTTTAAGAGTATAATATAAGTATATACACATATACTATGTATATACATAAAAACTGTGCAGTTCTAAGGAAAATTCAGACCAAATTTTGAGCAGTTAAGTTTATCATTCCACAGAGCTGAAGAAACAAATGCTTTTCTTTTGCCGCTCAGACCTCTGGATTCCTTTTGCACACAGCTTGCTATTCTTCTCCCTCGCTTTTCCTCACTATTGTTACGTAGATACCTTCCTTTGCAGGCGTCCCGGTGAAAGGATTCTTGCCTTTTCTTCCTCCTCCTGTTTTTCCTCTCTGAATCCATTTCACAGACAACAGTCTTCCAAAATAACAACATCAATTAATTTTTTAACTTAAAAAAAAATTACATTTGCCCCAGTCTGCCCTCTCCATTGACGCGCGGTGCGTGGAAGAGGCTGTGCAGGGACTGATAAGCCCTGGGTTTGGAGGCTCTGCAGAAGGACGCAGGGTGTGAGTGCACTCACAGACCAGACGGTGCTGTTCAGTGAGCCAGCCCAGTGCTAGGTGAGTTGACCTGCATGCTCACAGTGCTCCAAGAAACTGAGCCACAGGACAGCTGTTGAGGAATGGGCAGGAAGCAGCTTTTACTTTCCTGCCAGACTGCTGGAAACTGTTCTTTGTTGTTTGCTTTTGTGTTTAAATAGAAAAGTTTGTCCTGTGAAGTTATCTCTCAGCTAACTACCAAAGTTTCTCACTGCACTCCTCTCTTTTTGCAGAATCCAATGATCTTCGAGGGGACCCTCCACTCAGCCATCAAAGTGCTCCTGCCTCCCGGGATGCTCATAGTTCAATGGTAGAGGCAGGTGGAGTTGAGAGCATCACCCAGTGTTCCCAGGAGCTTCCGCAGATGATGGCTACAGGTAAATGTTGGTGCAGCCAGGGCACAAATAAGACTGTTGAGTTCTCACTGGAAAAGCTTGCTCAGTCAGGAAAGTGGGGATTGAACCAGAGATCAGGACCCTGAACGAAATCAGACCATGACATATGAAGTCAAACTTAACACATTCTGTTCTTTTTGTTCCCTAAGTTCCATGCTATTCTTTTGTAAATTTCATTTACTTATTTCATGAAAGCCAGTGCTAATTAGAAATACTCTGGGAAAAAAGCACTTTAGGTAGACACCTGCATTTGCTTAGTATAATGGTGTAAAAGTTTATAAAAGAAAGAATATGCTACAAGGTAACAAAATTCAATCTGGACTGGTGTTCCTCCTTGATAATTGTTTTCTGCTCTTTTCAACAGGATAGTCAGAAGGTGAGTGTGGTCCAGAATTACACTTGGAAACAGATGCATTTATTTATCCTTAGGCTACAAGCTAGTTAACTTGCTTTGCCAAGAGATCATTGCTGCTTTGCCCCTCGACCTTGTCCCTTAACTAATGTTTCTCCTGGAGAAGGAAGCAATTCTTCCATGTTTCCAAGGGGACCTCCTCAACCTCAGCCTGTGTGTAATACATGTCATTAAGTTTCCTCCCAAAAAGAATTTGGAAGCACTTTATGTCTGGAGAAAATGTTGCTATAGATTGTAGTGCTTTTTTTTTTTTTTATGGTTTGGGAATGTGCAAAATGAAGACTTGTATCTCTAGAAACGTTATTTCCTTTAAAGTGAAGCACCTTGCTTATCTACTCTAAGCAGGGGTTTGTTTTTCCTGCAGCAGCTGATGGTTTGGGGAGTATAGCAATAGACACAACCCAGCTCAACATGTCCGTGACAGATCCCACAGCCTGGGCTACAGCCATGAATAACCTGGGCATGGTTCCTGTGGGGTTGCCTGGACAGCAGCTCGTGTCTGGTAAGCTTTCTCCTGGTTTAGAAGATGCACACAGTGGTGCCAAGGGTGTGGGTGACAGGTGCCCAGTAATCTCTGCCTGGTGGGTGTTGAACATGGTCTTTGATTGATGACTAGGGTATGTTTGGCGTGTTGTGCTGGGGGTTCTTTTCCTCATCAACTTGCTCATCTGCCTGATAGTGGTTCTGGAGGCAGCCACCCACACTGGTACCACTCTACACAGCATCTCTGTAGCCTCACCAGTTGCATTTTCAAACTAGTGAGTGGAATGAGTAATACTTGCCTTCCAACTAACAAAATTTGTTCTCATACATTATCCATTGGATTGAAGTCTTCTGTTTGAAATAGACAGGTACATGTTTTTGTCATTGCTCTTGTCAGTGTTCCCATTCTACAAATAGGGAAACAAAAGGCATGAGTTTAAGTGAGTTTTTTTAGCACTGAAATGGCAGCTAGAAACTCAACTGAGACTAAATTTTATGTTTTTTGTCAGCTACACTTTAGAATAGTAATACGATGTAAGCAATAGGTAGTGTTTAGAAATATCACCAAGCCAAAGATCATTTAAAGATTTTACCATTTAGTTCAACACGTGTTTATTCAGGATTTTGCATGTGCTTTGTAAAAGGGGCTTTGGGAAATAGAATAAATATATGTGTTGTAAGTATTGAGAAGCATGTCTCCCTAAACTGAGAAAAAACAGGAAACCAAGAATAAAAAAAAATTTAGAATGAGGTGTTGAGTACTGGTACAGACTAGTAGGGAGGAAATTTCCAGAACAGTCACTGGGGCTCCAAGGGACTTGTTATCAGGAGGGTAAGACTTGAGCTGTTCCGAAGAGCTAAATCACACTCATGCACTTACTCACTGAGCGAATGCCCTCTGAGGCTGGGGCAGCAGCAGTAAGCAAATGGGCCTGCTCCCTGTCCTCTCAGATGTGCGTGGAGGTGTGACAGCCCTTGTGCTGAGGGCTTCATTGGAATAGTGGAATAGTTCCTTTTGCGCATCAAGTTGGGTGAGGGTGGATAAGGTGCACCAACAGGAATCAGTTGCTGTGGGGATGTCAGTATGTTCTGCCTGCAAGCCTGTGTACTTTGTGCTGAATTCACCAAGCATTTGGTTTCTTCATTTTTCTTTCTTTCTCCTCCACCCTCCATCTTTTTTAGTGTCAATAGTGGCCATAGATGAAAAACTCTGAACTAGCTGTATTAAATTATATGTGTGTGCATATATCTTTGAGGAGTTGGTACTTTGGGTTTTGAACTTGGGGTCTTGTACTTGCTAAGCAGGTATTCTACCCTTTGAGCCATGTCTCCAGCTCTTTTTTGCATTATAGTTATTTTTCAGATAGGGCCTTGGGCTTTTTGCCTGGGGCAGGCATCACCTCAGTCCTCCTACCTATGCCTCCATGCAGCTGAGATTACTGGAGTGCACCACACGTCCGGCCCCATTTTTAATTTTTTTAGTATAAAAAGAAGCCGTGAGAACAGATAAGAGACAGGCACATGACAGAAAAAAAAATAAGATTCAATTATAAAGCATATACTTATTTAGGATACTAATAAAATTCTTCAAAATGCTATAAAACTCATTTTTGTAGGGCCAGGGTATACATACATAAATGGGATTTTCTATGGGTTGTACATGTGTTTATATGGTTTCTTTTCTCAAAAGCTGATTTAGAAAGGTACTTCTTCTGATAACTTGAGAATAAGATTGTATTTTTCCACTCAGTTTTCCCCAGCTACCTAATTGAAATATTCATACATCAGAAATTACTTTACTTTTGTCTCACTTCCCACTTGTCTCAGAAAATGTTGTATGACTTCCACAGTGAGCTAAACCCTCAATAATTCATTCTTTTCTTACGATTTGGAGTCTTCTGACATTTTAACTGTGACCAATTTATGATTTTCCCAGCAACTTACCATGAAAAGATTTACAGCCCTACTGGTTATTGAAGGTTTACCATATCTGCCCTGAATTACATTCTCTATCTACTGTGTTGAGCCTTTGGGTTTTTCTGGGCCTCCCTTCCTCCTTTTCTCATCCTCCATTCTCAGAGCTACTAGATAGCTGCGTTTATTGACCTGACGCAAGGTCTGTTTCTGTTGTGTTTTGTTAGGGTTTATGTATTTTCTTCTATGCAAATGTTTCCATCATATTGAACATAAAATTTTCTATTACGCATTTCTGTTAACATCTTGAACTGTTTTTTCCATTTTATACTTTTGTATTAAGAAATGAAAATAATCCATCAAATAAAGCATCCCCAGTTTGCTTAATCATTCTAAATGTTTTCATTTAGACTGTTTCTTTTCAGTCTTACTAGTCAAGTTTCTTTAGCAAACTTAATCTGTCTCAGCATGTAAAATCATTTTACCTTTTCAGTGACAAAGAGAACATATTTTATGGAACTGTTGTGAGATTTAAAATACCTTACAAAGTATAACATGTATCTGCATATTGTAAGCATTCACTAAATACTAGCTCTTTCTTCCTTTTTCCAAATAAATACTATCACAGTGAGCATTTTTAAGCATAGGGCTTTTCAGCAGTTAGAATTATTTCCCTTGGATATATTCTTACACCTAGAACTAATAGGTCAGAGAAGCAAACATTTTCAAGTTTCTTATTATGTATTAGGGTAATTAATTTCCCAAATACCCAAATGTATTTAATATTTACTAATTTGATATGCAAAGATAACATTCTATTATTTTATCTTGAGTTCTTTCTTTCATGATTTGGTCTTAAATGTCTCCCAAAGATCCATATAGTAAGGGCTTGGTTGCCAATGTGTGTCACTATTGAAGGTGGTGGAACCTTTAGGAGGTCGGGCCTTGTAGCAAGAAGTTAGGTCATTGGGGGGGGGTGTCCTTGAAGAGGGCACCCTGGCTCCTCTTTTTTGTCTGTCTTCACTTCCTTGCTGCTATGAAATGAGCAGCTTTGTTCTACTATGTGTTCCCACCATGATGTACTGTGTCACCACAGGCCCAAAGTGATGGGGCTAAGTCACCATGGCTTGAAACCTCTGAAACCATGAGCCAAAATAAAATCCTTTGCAGTTGATTTTCTCACGTATTTTGTCACAGTGACAGGAAGTGACTAACATGCTTTTTTTCTACCTTGTTTCCCTTTTATTTTCTATTCATATTTCCTATATGTAAGAAGATTACTCAAATATTGCGCCCATTTTTCAGATAGAGTTCTTGGTAATTTTCTTAAATTGGTTTATATTTGGTTAGTTTTTACACATTTTAATCCTTCAACTCCTTGTTTCTTAAAAATATTTATCTGGTCTTGTCTATTTTTGCCTTTTAATATAATTTTTTCATTTATGAGTTCTTTATTCAATTTCTAAATATAGAATTGTTTGCCTACTCTAAAGATTGATTAATACTTACTTCTGATTTTCTACTCCCTCATTGACTTCCCTGTCTTGTATCAGAAACTAAATTCTTATGCATATTTTTACCAATTTCTGAAGTATCTAATTTGTACTACTGATCAATCTTTCTCATTCTAGCACCACATTGTTCAGTTCTTACAGTTCTGTAATATATTTGTAGGAAGCACCCTCTTCTCTTTTTACTATACCCAATATATAGTATATTTGTTTCTTTTCAATTTATCCATGGAGCAGGGAAAGCTGCTTCTCACTCAGTATTCACACTGACAACCTCTGGAGTTCTTCAGTGTGACTGCAGAATGTTAGAGGCAGAAGGGACTTAAAGATTATTTAGTGTAACATGCCTTCCAAGAAATCCTCTCTAAAATATCTCTGACAGGATTATGGAGAGGCTGGATTTTATGAGCACTTGGCTTTCTCCCAACGTTTCTGATATTTCTAAATGACCAAGCACTCTCCCTATATTTGTTAAAAATTAAACTGACACTAAATCCCATTCCTCACTGCTTCTTCAGTTTATTGAAAGATTTAAATTATCAGCAAAGCAAGTTGTAAATTTTTCATATCCTCTGATTTTATCAAAAAGGATTTCTCCAGAAATCACATCACTTATTGCCATCATGTCAGACCTTTCTGATGTGCTGTCATGTACTCCCACAAACGTGCCTCTTCCATCTGCCTCCCTCTTATTGTTGTGATTCCGTTTCCATTTTCATGAACTTCCATTTATCTTCATGTGCAGTGCCACTTGAGATAATTAAACTAAACTTGTTTTCTCTTGTCCAAAATGCATCATTTTATTGTGTCATCCCAGCCCTACATCTCACTCCAGTGAGACTGTGTTTACCTCTACTTACTGTTGTTTCATTTTGTTTATTCCCATAATTTGTTTTAGTTTTGTGAGTTTGTTTTTATCATTATTGTTTAGTTTCATTAACAATATTTTGGGTATTGTAATAGACTCAGGTTTTCAACATTAGTCTGTTGAAATATTAGTGTACCACAGTTGTTATCAGGTAGAGTGACTGTCACATAAATATTTAAGTAGAGTATAACAATTGTGGCAAACAGAGTTAAACACAGGTAAATTACTTTGTGGGTTTTCTTAAAGTCTTTATTATTCTAATGTGCAATGTACAGTTTTCAGAGTGGGAACTAATATGTAGGATTCCTACATGTTAACCTTTTAAAAATACACATCAGCATTTCATGAGACAGTAGAACACAGCCATCTGCACCAGATTTTTCCCGTTTGCTGTGAGCCCCTTCTCCATCATCATCCATCTTTATTTCCATATGATCTCATTTACAATTTTGTTTATGTTTGCACTGAATGATGCCACTTCCTAATTTCAAGTTTCAAAATAACTCACTCATAGTCAGATGCTGTCTCCTGAAACGTCTCAATCTTCTTTTTATACACATAGATAACACACACATATATATGTGCATGCACATATACAACATTTTAAAATATTTTTTGAAATCTTTTTAAGACAGTGTCTCACTTTGTAGTCCAGACTGGCCTTGAACTCAACATCCTCCTGCTTCAGCCTCCTGAGTTGCTGGATCACCACACCTGGCTTTTCAG